CGTTACTCCAAATACTACGTGTATGTAGGCGTTACTCCATATACTACAAATATGCAGGCGTTACTCCATATACTACATGTATGTAGACGTTACTCCATATACTACAGGTATGTAGGCGTTACTCCATACACTACGTGTATGTAGGCGTTACTCCATATACTAGAAGTATGCAGGCGTTACTCCATATACTACATGTATGTAGGCGTTACTCCATATACTACGAGTATGCAGGCGTTACTCCATATACTACATGTATGTAGACGTTACTCCATATACTACATGTATGTGGGCTTTACTCCATATACTACATGTATGTAGACGTTACTCCATGTACTACATGTATGTAGGTGTTACTCCATATACTACATGTATGTAGGCGTTACTCCATATACTTAATGTATGTAGTCACTATAACAGCACCCGTGGTAGCCGTTACTCCATATACTACATGTATGTAGGCGTTACTCCATATAATACAAGTATGCAGGCGTTACTCCAAATACTACGTGTATGTAGGCGTTACTCCATATACTACAAATATGCAGGCGTTACTCCATATACTACATGTATGTAGACGTTACTCCATATACTACAGGTATGTAGGCGTTACTCCATACACTACGTGTATGTAGGCGTTACTCCATATACTACAGGTATGTAGACGTTACTCCATATACTACAAGTATGCAGGCGTTACTCCATATACTTCAAGTATGCAGGCGTTACTCCATATACTACATGTATGTAGACGTTACTCCATTTACTACAGGTATTTAGGCGTTACTCCATATACTACAAGTATGCAGGCGTTACTCCATATACTACAAGTATGCAGGCGTTACTCCATATACTACATGTATGTAGACGTTACTCCATATACTACAGGTATTTAGGCGTTACTCCATATACTACAAGTATGCAGGCGTTACTCCATATACTACATGTATGTAGGCGTTACTCTATATACTACAAGTATGCAGGCGTTACTCCATATACTACATGTATGTAGGCGTTACTCCATATACTACAAGTATGCAGGCGTTACTCCATATACTACATGTATGTAGGCGTTACTCCATATACTACAAGTATGAAGGCGTTACTCCATATACTACAAGTATGCAGGCGTTACTCCATATACTACATGTATGTAGACGTTACTCCATATACTACAGGTATTTAGGCGTTACTCCATAAACTACAAGTATGTAGGCGTTACTCCATATACTACAAGTATGCAGGCGTTACTCCATATACTACAGGTATTTAGGCGTTACTCCATAAACTACAAGTATGTAGGCGTTACTCCATATACTACAAGTATGCAGGCGTTACTCCATATACTACATGTATGTAGTCGTTACTCCATATACTACATGTATGTAAACGTTACTCCATAAACTACATGTATGTGGGCGTTACTCCATATACTACAGGTATGCAGGCGTTACTCCATATACTTCAAGTATGCAGGCGTTACTCCATATACTACATGTATGTAGACGTTACTCCATATACTACATGTATGTGGGCGTTACTCCATATACTACATGTATGTAGACGTTACTCCATGTACTACATGTATGTAGGTGTTACTCCATATACTACATGTATGTAGGCGTTACTCCATATACTAAATGTATGTAGTCACTATAACAGCACCCGTGGTAGCCGTTACTCCATATACTACATGTATGTAGGCGTTACTCCATATAATACAAGTATGCAGGCGTTACTCCAAATACTACGTGTATGTAGGCGTTACTCCATATACTACAAATATGCAGGCGTTACTCCATATACTACATGTATGTAGACGTTACTCCATATACTACAGGTATGTAGGCGTTACTCCATACACTACGTGTATGTAGGCGTTACTCCATATACTAGAAGTATGCAGGCGTTACTCCATATACTACATGTATGTAGACGTTACTCCATATACTACATGTATGTAGAGGTTACTCCATATACTACGTATATGTAGTCACTGTAACTTCACCCGTGGTACGCGTTACTCCATGTACTACATGTATGTAGGCGTTACTCCATATACTACGAGTATGCAGGCGTTACTCCATATACTACAAGTATGCAGGCGTTACTCCATATACTACATGTATGTAGACGTTACTCCATATACTACATGTATGTAGACGTTACTCCATATACTACGTAAATGTAGTCACTCTATATTCACCCGTGGTACGCGTTACTCCATGTACTACATGTATGTAGGCGTTACTCCATATACTACATGCATGCAAGCGTTACTCAATATACTACATGGATGCAGGCGTTACTCCATATACTACAAGTATGAAGGCGTTACTCCATATACTACAAGTATGCAGGCGTTACTCCATATACTACATGTATGTAGACGTTACTCCATATACTACATGTATGTAGACGTTACTCCATGTACTACGTATATGTAGTCACTGTAACTTCACCCGTGGTACGAGTTACTCCATGTACTACATGTATGTAGGCGTTACTCCATATAATACATGTATGTGGGCGTTACTCCATATACTACATGTATGCAGGCGTTACTCCATATACTACATGTATGTAGACGTTACTCCATATACTACGTGTATGTAGTCACTGTAATTTCACCCGTGGTACGCGTTACTCCATGTACTACATGTATGTAGGCGTTACTTCATATACTACATGTATGCAGGCGTTACTCCATATACTACATGTATGCAGGCGTTACTCCATATACTACATGTATGCAGGCGTTACTCCATATACTACCAGTATGTAGACGTTACTCCATGTACTACATGTATGTAGTCACTGTAACTTCACCCGTGGTACGCGTTACTCCATATACTACATGTATGTAGGCGTTACTCCATATACTACATGTATGTAGGCGTTACTCCATGTACCGCGTTCCTCAGAATCAAGTGCAACAACAATCGCATGACGTCATTTTAATGGTTGATTCCCCGAAATCCACTGCGCTTTTCGCTTATAGTATGCCACACGCACACAGTGACAATCTATTTCAAGTCAGTCGTTGTCACATATGGCGATCATGACTCGTCCGTGAAAGAAAGTTGAACTCGACACTGACGGCCGTCAGAGGGCTGCTTCCTGTTCACGCGACGCCTCCTTCCGGTTGACCGTGACATGCTCACCAGTGAGAGAATTAGTATCCTACTTCATCCTGGTAATGCTGAAGGCAAGTTGTGCAAGTTGTGCACGCACGCACTAGACACATTATGGACCAACATTATCATTCGACATTGCGCAGCAGTTATCAAAAATGCATTTGATAAAATTCTTCAGGCGACGTAATACCTATGTTTTACTGGTTGCAAACAGACAATGAAGATTACGAAAGTTGGGACGGCCATGACAACTAGGTGGGAAAAACTCTTTCACGCGATAAAAGATTACATACAAAGATAAAAGTCAGTTCGTCATCCTCAGTTCCAGAGTTGCAGATTTGACACAGTCACCGTGAAAGGGGTGTTATACCAGCGACCTACCTCTGCAGGGAGTATGGTATTACTAGCACGTAAATTTGGAAAGTAAATATGATATAAAATATATAGGATATCTTAGTAGGTAGCCAAATGCACATATCAGATCCGAATATACGTCAATTAAATGATACGTCTTCCCTTTGACGATAAAGTCATATCACTATTCCACTTTGATATAAATTGGTCAGTCATTCTGTGAAGTAGCCAAGATTAATCAGGTATGATTTGGTCATTCCAAATATATGACAAATCACAATGTGGTGTATATTTATAACTAACAAATTTGCTCCCACAATTATATACACAACAAATATATGAAGCTTGTTTAAATTTTTGGATGTGAATATTTTGTGAGTTGGTACAAGGTAATGCGGTTATACAATAGATGAAGTGAGGTGACAGGCAAATGCAATTAAATTGCAGTGGAAAATCCCTGATCACGATTAATTAATGGCTTGCTCGTCTGTTGTGGACAGCTTCTTTGAGCATGAGCTTCCTCTCGTCCAGGTGGGACTGTTTGTTCCGAGGAACAAGTTTGTTGTATGTTTATTGTTTAACGCCTCAGTCAGTAATATTCCAGCAATATGACGGCGGTCTGTAAATAATCGTGTCTGGACAAGACAATCCAGTGATTTAAATAATGAGCATCGTTCTATGCAATTGGGATACGATGACATGCATCACCCTGACCACCCGATCCCGTGAGTCGCCTCTTACGACAAGCATAGTTGCCCTTTACGGCAAGAATGGGTTTGTGAAGACCTACTCTACCCCGGATCTTCACGGGTGGACAAACTAATAAACATAACCAGGGCGCATCCGGGAATAAAAGTCACGATGTAAGGGTTTTGGCACATTTATTGGACGCAGGTCTCCACATCGAGACAACTTTACAACCCATACCCCATAAGGATTTGGCGTACAATTGGCAGGAGCTCACTCAAAATGATTGACATATTTGGCATCTTAAAATAAAATGATTTTTGATAATCCCCAACGGGGAATTTACTAGAAAAATAATGCAAGTTTTTTTCATGTAATTGCAGTTTTTGAAAGACACATTCGATGGTAAGTTGAAAACGTTGTTCTTCTCTGAGCCTGGGTGCTGGAATATATCTCTCAATCCTGCTTGACACTGACCAACAGTAACAAAAATGAGTTGTCTCCCTTTGACAGTAGCACCTACAATATATTGCCAGTGACCATTCTCGCCTGTTGGGATTCCAGGTTAGCATTTGTCCCTAGCAACCTATGGATCGTTGTCCACGTTATCAATCACCGGATTTTCTGGAGATGTGTGTAAAATATACATATGGTCACATACTATAACCTCGGGACGTGAACGAATGTATATTTCTATGAGGGGCGGTCGGGTATCCTAGTGATTAAAACGTTCGCTCGTCACGCCGAAGACCCGGGTTCGATTTCCGACATGGGTACAATGTGTGCAGCCCATTTCTGGTGTCCCCCGCCGTGATATTGCTGGAATATTGCTAAAAGCGGTGTAGGTGTAAAACCATACTCACTCACTAACTTTTTCTATGATATGGACTTAATTTGGCTGTCGAGACTGTGTAACGTCTGTCATCAATGAAACGGAGTTAATGTATCATGGTTCAAAAGTCGTAGGCAATGTTGTGGAACCTACAGACATAAAAACATAACAAAACATATTGATAAAAAACAATTAAAAAAACATAATTATATATCCTTTTTCAGGGTTCTTTATTTCCTATGCATGTTTATTAAAATTGCAAGCGATTGATAACAGACTCGGTTAGGACCCCATGAAACTTTGGAAAGTCGTGTACCATGCACTCTTGAGATCAACTCGCGACGGACTATGAGACTTGCCGACACGTCAATATCACCTGGTAAAATAATTAAAACAAATTAAAAAATGATAGAAAACAGCTGTTCGATTGAGCTGAGGTTAAGTCCGAAAAAGCGTACGTTTTTTGCTTCAAAGCGGGCTATAAAGGATATTTTCTGCCTCTCATTAATCAACGTGAAGCCTGTCTTGTTCATGGCGGGGTGTAAGGCATACATTCTCCCGCTGAGACATGTATGTCCCACCAAGGCGGGATACTTAGTATTTTATCAAGATCACGTGGACCATTCAAATTAAATCATTCGGACATGGAGGTATGGTAAAAATAGTTACACGATACATTTTACACAATACAATGTTTTGTTGAAGAGAAAAAGCAGGGGTGTTATCTACGTGTGGGCATACCTTCGTAACTCTCTATTGGACAGTTACTCAAGGGAGAGTTTCTCGGGCATTCCCCTCTCATAAAATATCCTCGTTTTACCAAATCACCAATAATCTTTCCCCATCAATGCTGCAAGTTTTTGGTTATGTGGTTTGTAGAATCTGTCCAGGATGAAACGTGTCCACGGCATCATGTCCCCAATTGTCTGGTCAGTCTGTTCCTGATTGGCTGCGGCGATTCTGTGCAGATTGGAATCAAACAGAGCATCTGGAAGGAAATAGTAACATCGAGTCAGGATGGAGACTAATACAGATGGTTCTGCTTCAGAGCTTCGTTCATATCTCAACATACAATCTGAAATAATTTATCGTACCATCTTACCATGAGGTGAGGTGAGGTAAGGTGATTTACATCGGTAAAAGCACTTACAAAGAAACGGGAATTGTTTGTGTGTCGCTGATTGTACGTGTATACCGGTTTTAAAGTCCTCTTTAACATGAATACCCCTTTCCCAACGGGTAGCCTGTTGGTCAGTCTGTATCGAGGCATGGAGTGCTAGGGACGTGTTCTAGCCAGTGACCAACGCGTCGCCTGTTGGTAGGTCTGTATTGAGGCATGGAGTCCCAGGGGCGTGTTCTAACCAGGGACCAACGGGTCCGCCTTCAGTAGGTTTGTATCGAGGCATGGAGTCCCAGGGGCGTATTCTAACCAGGGACTCACGGGTCGCCTGTTGGTAAGTCTGTATCGAGGCATGGAGTGCCAGGGGCGTGTTCTAACCAGGGACCTCACGGAGCGGTCTTTAGTAGGTCTGTATCGAGGCATGGAGTCCCAGGGGCGTGTTCTAACCAGGGACCAACGGGTCGGCTTTCAGTAGGTTTGTATCGAGGCATGGAGTCCCAGGAGCGTGTTCTAACCAGGGACCAACGTGTCGGCCTTTGGTAGGTCTGTTTCGAGGCATGGAGTGCTAGGGGCGTGTTCTAACCAGGGACCTCACGGGGCGGTCTTTAGTAGGTCTGTATCGAGGCATGGAGTCCCAGGGGCGTGTTCTAACCAGGGACCAACGGGTCGGCCTTCAGTAGGTTTTAATCGAGGCATGGAGTCCCAGGGGCGTGTTCTAACCAGGGACTCACGGGTCCGCCTTTAGTAGGTTTGTATCGAGGCATGGAGTCCCAGGGGCGTGTTCGTACCAGGGACCAACGGGTCGGCCTTTGGTAGGTCTGTATGGAGGCAAGGAGTCCCAGGGGCGTGTTCTAACCAGGGACCAAAGGGTCGGCCTTTGGTAGGTCTGTATCGAGGCATGGAGTCCCAGGGGCGTGTTCTAACCAGGGACCAACGGGTCCGCCTTCAGTAGGTCTGTATCGAGGCATGGAGTCCCAGGGGCGTGTTCTAACCAGGTACTCATGAGTCGCCTGTTGGTAAGTCTGTATCGAGGCATGGAGGGCTAGGGGCGTGTTCTAACCAGGGACTCACGGGTCCGCCTTGAGTAGGTTTGTATCGAGGCATGGAGTCCCAGGGGCGTGTTCTAACCAGGGACCAAAGGGTCGGCCTTTGGTAGGTCTGTATTGAGGCATGGAGTCCCAGGGGCGTGTTCTAACCAGGGACCAACGGGTCCGCCTTCAGTAGGTTTGTATCGAGGCATGGAGTCCCAGGGGCGTATTCTAACCAGGGACTCACGGGTCGCCTGTTGGTAAGTCTGTATCGAGGCATGGAGTCCCAGGGGCGTGTTCTAACCAGGGACCAACGGGTCCGCCTTCAGTAGGTTTGTATCGAGGCATGGAGTCCCAGGGGCGTGTTCTAACCAGGTACTCATGAGTCGCCTGTTGGTAAGTCTGTATCGAGGCATGGAGGGCTAGGGGCGTGTTCTAACCAGGGACTCACGGGTCCGCCTTGAGTAGGTTTGTATCGAGGCATGGAGTCCCAGGGGCGTGTTCTAACCAGGGACCAAAGGGTCGGCCTTTGGTAGGTCTGTATTGAGGCATGGAGTCCCAGGGGCGTGTTCTAACCAGGGACCAACGGGTCCGCCTTGAGTAGGTTTGTATCGAGGCATGGAGTCCCAGGGGCGTGTTCTAACCAGGGACCAACGGGTCGGCCTTTGGTAGGTCTGTATTGAGGCATGGAGTCCCAGGGGCGTGTTCTAACCAGGGACCAACGGGTCCGCCTTCAGTAGGTTTGTATCGAGGCATGGAGTCCCAGGGGCGTATTCTAACCAGGGACTCACGGGTCGCCTGTTGGTAAGTCTGTATCGAGGCATGGAGTCCCAGGGGCGTGTTCTAACCAGGGACCAACGGGTCCGCCTTCAGTAGGTCTGTATCGAGGCATGGAGTCCCAGGGGCGTGTTCTAACCAGGTACTCATGAGTCGCCTGTTGGTAAGTCTGTATCGAGGCATGGAGGGCTAGGGGCGTGTTCTAACCAGGGACTCACGGGTCCGCCTTGAGTAGGTTTGTATCGAGGCATGGAGTCCCAGGGGCGTGTTCTAACCAGGGACCAAAGGGTCGGCCTTTGGTAGGTCTGTATTGAGGCATGGAGTCCCAGGGGCGTGTTCTAACCAGGGACCAACGGGTCCGCCTTCAGTAGGTTTGTATCGAGGCATGGAGTCCCAGGGGCGTATTCTAACCAGGGACTCACGGGTCGCCTGTTGGTAAGTCTGTATCGAGGCATGGAGTCCCAGGGGCGTGTTCTAACCAGGGACCAACGGGTCCGCCTTCAGTAGGTTTGTATCGAGGCATGGAGTCCCAGGGGCGTGTTCTAACCAGGTACTCATGAGTCGCCTGTTGGTAAGTCTGTATCGAGGCATGGAGTGCTAGGGGCGTGTTCTAACCAGGGACTCACGGGTCCGCCTTGAGTAGGTTTGTATCGAGGCATGGAGTCCCAGGGGCGTGTTCTAACCAGGGACCAAAGGGTCGGCCTTTGGTAGGTCTGTATTGAGGCATGGAGTCCCAGGGGCGTGTTCTAACCAGGGACCAACGGGTCCGCCTTCAGTAGGTTTGTATCGAGGCATGGAGTCCCAGGGGCGTATTCTAACCAGGGACTCACGGGTCGCCTGTTGGTAAGTCTGTATCGAGGCATGGAGTCCCAGGGGCGTGTTCTAACCAGGGACCAACGGGTCCGCCTTCAGTAGGTTTGTATCGAGGCATGGAGTCCCAGGGGCGTGTTCTAACCAGGGACCAACGGGTCCGCCTTTGGTAGGTCTGTATCGAGGCATGGAGTCCCAGGGGCGTGTTCTAACCAGGGACCAACGTGTCGGCCTTTGGTAGGTCTGTATTAAAGGCATGGAGTCCCAGGGGCGTGTTCTAACCAGGGACCAACGGGTCGGCCTTTGGTAGATCTGTATTGAGGCATGGAGTCCCACCGGCGTGTTCTAACCAGGGACCAACGGGTCGGCCTTTAGTAGGTCTGTATTGAGGCATGGAGTCCCAGGGGCGTGTTCTAACCAGGGACCAACGGGTCGGCCTTTAGTAGGTCTGTATTGTGGCATGGAGTCCCAGGGGCGTGATCTAACCAGGGACCAACGGGTCCGCCTTCAGTAGGTTTGAATCGAGGCATGGAGTCCCAGGAGCGTGTTCTAACCAGGGACCAACGGGTCCGCCTTCAGTAGGTCTGTATCGAGGCATGGAGTCCCAGGGGCGTGTTCTAACCAGGGACCAACGGGTCCGCCTTCAGTAGGTCTGTATCGAGGCATGGAGTCCCAGGGGCGTGTTCTAACCAGGGACCAACGTGTCGGCCTTTGGTAGGTCTGTATTGAGGCATGGAGTCCCACCGGCGTGTTCTAACCAGGGACCAACGGGTCCGCCTTTAATAGGTTTGCATCGAGGCATGGAGTCCCAGGGGCGTGTTCTTACCAGGGACCAACGGGTCTGCTTTTAGTAGGTTTGTATCGAGGCATGGAGTGCTCGGGACCCATTGTTATCTGATCCCCCACTCGGTAGGAAAGCTCTCAGGTCTAGACTCTCCTACATTAAATAGCGGTGAAGAAATAAGATAAACAATTAACTCACTTAAATCCAGGAATTTGAAGATTTCTGCAAGATGTTTTGCTTTATTACTCGTGTAGTCTTCAAACGTATGGACGTGGATCTGTTTACTAGGGAACACTTTCCTCCAGTCCCAAAGGAACACGTGGTAGATTCCTCGCCGAAGATCGATCTGGCGAAACAAGATAAGTTTTAATTATCAAAGAAAACATATAGGCGGATGTGTGTGTGTGAGAGAGAGAGAGAGAGAGAGAGAGAGAGAGAGAGAGAGAGAGAGAGAGAGAGAGAGAGAGAGAGAGAGAGAGAGAGAGAGAGAGAGAGAGATATTGTCTGTGTGGCTGTGTGTTTTTTGCATGTTTGTGTGTCTGTGTATCTGTGTGTATCTCTCTGTATGTGCGTATGTATTGTGTATCTGTTTGTGTGACTGAGTGTGTGTCTGTGTCTGTATTTACGTACGTGTGTGTGTACGTGCGTACATGTGTGTGTGTGGTGGTATGTGAATATCATGTGCTAGCGAGCGAGAATGTTTTACAGACGCTTTAGCAAAATTCCATGAGGGGAATCGAACCCAAGCATTCGGCGGGAAAATAATGATTCGGTGGAAACACCAGGAACACGTACCTCTTCTGTCAGGGAATCAGCGATGGTGTAGTTGTAACAACATCCCCGGAGGGACTGCGACGCCAGACAGTCGACGAAGGAAACGATCTCTCTGTTGACCAGGTCGTGGAAGTCTTGTTGTGACGCCACCCTTCCTAATTTAGCCGACTTAGAGATGTAATAGGAGTAGAGTCTGAAACAAAGGTTCCCCCATTTTATCTCTCATAGTCTCTAAGCGCCTCCCAGTGTCTCTCAGTGTTCCTCATGGTATCCTTTGTCTGTTTATACCGCAATTCTTGTTTATAACAATGTTATTAAAGTACTGTATATAGGATTTGCTGGAACAAATGCTTTTTAACCGTTAAAAGAAACCAGAATATTTCACAGAAGCAAAAATAATTATAATAAGAAGAAGAAGAAGAATAATAAGAATAAGAATAATAATAGAAATAATAACAATAAAGTTAAACAGAAGGCTTTTTGTTTGCTGCTCAGGACCAGTCACTTCCAACTCGAAACCGTGTATATAATATGAAATGTAGATCATGCAATGAATTTAATGAGACTGTCCAACACATTGTCGGTGGATGCCCAGCTTTGGCACAAACACACTAACTTAAGCGACATGATGATATAGCTCGATCATTTTATTACCGTCTTTGCCTGTGGTTTAGACACAGATCCATCCATGGTACGATCCGGAACGTGTCGAGGGCGTCATGGAAAATGATAAATACAAAATTCTTTTGAATAGGCCCGAATACAGCCTCAGATCTATCCAGGCCAACAAACCTGATCTTGTCCTGTTTGATAAAACCAATGAAATCATTTATATCATTGAATTTTTCGGTCTCTTTTCGACACTTATGTGATTGACAAGATTCAGGAAAAACATGGCAAATATGCAGACCTCGCTTTCGAAATGTCACGCTTGCGTCCCAAGTACTAAATTGTCCGACTCCCCATTGTTCTCGGTGCCCTAGGTTTGGTACCTCCCAATCTGTTGACTGACATTGGGGAAGTACCCGGGTTTGCTACCAGGAATAAAGCCCTTCTGACAATCTGGGTAATGCAGAAGGCTGCAGTGTTGGTGAGTCTTCACATTCTCCGAAAAGTTGTGGCAGGGTTCGACAAGGCAGCGCTTCCTGGGAGAAGTCCCATTCGCTGTCTGGGCTGCGTGTAGAGGGGGCAAGGGCCCTAAGCTGATGATGAGCCTAACAAGCCTGACTGTGCCAGGATCACCCAAACACTCTTTGCTGCATTTTTTATTTTAATCTGTACATAATAATAATAATGATAACAATAATAGCGTAGTTATAAAACACCTATCAAATCCACACAAAAATAATCCATTGGAGATACCTTTAGATGGACATCTAAGAAAATGACAATTGTCGCTGCATTTATTTTGTCAACAAAGCGAACCTCGCTTTCGAAAAGGCACGCTTGCATCCTAAGTACCAAGTTGTCCGACTCCGAAATGTTCTCGGTGCCTTAGGTTTGGTACCTCCTAATCAGTTGACTGACATTGGGGTAGTACCCGGGATTGCTATAAAGAATAAAGCCCTTCTGACAATCTGGGTAATGCAAGAGGCTGCAGTGTTTGGGAGTCTTCACATTCTCCGAAAAATTCTGGGTGGGTTCGACTAGGCAGCGCTTCCTGGGAGAAGTCCCATTCGCTGTCTCGGATGCGTGTAGTGGGGGCAATGCCCTGAGCTGATGATGAGCCTAGCAAGCCTGAATGTGCCAGGATCACCCAAACCCTCTTTGCTGTATTTTTTTAATTTTAATCTGTACATGATAATAATGATAACAATAATAGTGTAGTTATAAAACACCTATCTAATCCACAAAAAACTAATCCATTGGAGATACCTTTAGATTGACATCTAACAAAAATAACAAAAATGACGCTGCATTTATTTTGGCAACACTGCTCCCATAATGCATGTTGCATTACACACAGCCATAATCATGAAACACGACTTTACAGATGAACGGAAAGCACCCGTAGGTAAAAGTAATCTTGTGATTGTTTTGGCAAGCCGGATCCGTTGTCTGGGGTTTATTGTTGGATGTGAGCTCGTTTTCGAGACGAACAAGAAAACTGGTGATTATCATAAGAACATGAATGGTGATGTGTTCACAGATTAATTGAAACATCAGCTACTGCCCAATCGAAACAACATCAGTGTCATTGTCCTGGAAAAAGCCAGTTTTCATAATGTCCGGGAACAGGATACTGTCGTGTGTATGGAGTCATGAGTAATCTGAAGTGAGGTGGGGTTAAATGGGGTTTAACGTCGCGTCCAAGATTATTTCACTTATATAGCGACGTGCATGTACGTGTGTGTGTTTCTGTGGCTGCTTGTACTAGTCCGGAGTGATGCCGATTTATAGTGCTAGCTGACTGAAATACCATGCCGCAGTTTAACATGAATATCCCACTCAGACACAGTATACTGACTCCGAGCCGACCAGTCCTTGTTTTAGCCCCTTAATGCCGAGCGCCAGACAGGGTAACAACAAGTACCATCTTTTAACGTCAAGCCCGAAGTGATGCAGGTCTCAGACGTTTACCACTTCGGTGAAACCCACGAGCACGGGTATGGAGCTGACAAACCTAGAAACATAATCGGGGCGAACCGGGATTCGAACCCACAACCATAGGTTTCTGGCGTGTCCAAGGGACGCAACTCTGCACAGCGAATCGCGGGACCCGTGCCCCCCAGTAGATAAGAAATGGCCTAGGTTGGAGCCAAGAGAAGAGAAGATCTGGCCTCTGTTGCACCGTCTCCATCTAAATTCGTTGGGGAATGTCTGGCAATGGGTGGGGAAGAACTGGCCTCGCCGAACCCTCCCCGGGGAAGAAACTGGCCAGGGAGATGTTACAACGGTGTGAGATATAGTGTGTGTTTGCGTCTGTTTGTGTGTGTGCACCGTGTTATTGGACTCTACCTGTCTGTGGGGTTCCTGAGTGACAGGATGATCTTGGCCCCAGGGTTCAGATGATGGATGATGTCAGCATTGGTCACACATGGTTCGGTACACCCTTCGTTGCCAGGCAACATATCCCAAAAGTCGTTATAGGAGAAATATCCTGGCGTGGCATCTCCTGCACAATAATATGTATAACTTATAGTTACTTTTTTCAAAGATATTCCTATCAAACGTAGTGTTGCTAAAACTGATGAAAAATACAACGTATCATATATCAACATGATTTTTGTGATTATTAAAGAAGTGAACCGTGATGCTTATTTGAGATCACCACAACAGTTGTTATGCACTATGTACTCACAATAGGACAGTTGTTATGCACTATGTACTAACAATAGAAGAGTTGTTATGCACTACATGTATGTACTAACAACAGGACAGTTGTTATGCACTATGTACTCACAATAGAAGAGTTGTTATGCACTATGTACTCACAATAGAAGAGTTGTAATGCACTATGTACTCACAATAGAAGAGTTGTTATGCACTATGTACTAACAATAGGACAGTTGTTATGCACTATGTACTAACAATAGGACAGTTGTTATGCACTATGTACTCACAATAGGACAGTTGTTATGCACTATGTACTCACAATAGGACAGTTGTTATGCACTATGTACTAACAACAAGACAGTTGTTATGCACTATGTACTAACAACAGGACAGTTGTTATGCACTATGTACTCACAATAGGACAGTTGTTATGCACTATGTACTAACAATAGGACAGTTGTTATGCACTATGTACTAACAATAGGACAGTTGTTATGCACTATGTACTCACAATAGGACAGTTGTTCTGCACTATGTTCTCACAATAGGACAGTTGTTATGCACTATGTTCTCACAATAGGACAGTTGTTATGCACTATGTACTAACAATAGGACAGTTGTTATGCACTATGTACTAACAACAGGACAGTTGTAATGCACTATGTACTAACAACAGGACAGTTGTTATGCACTATGTACTCACAATAGGACATTTGTTATGCACTATGTACTAACAATAGGACATTTGTTATGCACTATGTACTAACAACAGGACAGTTGTTATGCACTATGTACTAACAACAGGACAGTTGTTATGCACTATGTACTCACAATAGGACAGTTGTTTTGCACTATGTACTACACCAAGACAATTGTTATGCACTATGTTCTCACAATAGGACAGTTGTTATGCACTATGTACTAACAACAAGGCAGTTGTTATGCACTATGTACTCACAATAGGACAGTTGTTATGCACTTTGTACTCACAATAGGAGAGTTGTTATGCACTATGTACTAACAACAAGACAGTTGCTGTGCACTATGTTCTCACAATAGGACAGTTGTTATGCACTATGTACTAACAATAGGACAGTTGTTATGCACTATGTACTAACAACAGGACAGTTGTTATGCACTATGTACTAACAACAGGACAGTTGTTATGCACTATGTACTCACAATAGGACAGTTGTTATGCACTATGTACTAACAACAAGACAGTTGTTATGCACTATGTACTAACAACAAGACAGTTGTTATGCACTATGTACTCACAATAGGAGAGTTGTTATACACTCTGTATATATGAAAAGGAGTGTTGTTATGCACTGTGTATCTTTCCATATGAGTGTTGTTATACACTCTGTATATATGAATAGGAGAGTTGTTATGCACTATGTATCTTTCCATATGAGTGTTGTTATACACTCTGTATCTATCAATAAGGAAGTTGTCATGGACTATGTATCCATCAATAGCAAAGTTGGCAGATCTTGATGAATGACAATTCACGACCGGTTTTGTAAATTAGTAGTTTTGGATCTTAATCGCCAAGCCCCGAACATAGATGGGAAATGAAGGATTTTGAAAAAAGAGTGAGTGAGTGAGTGAGTGAGTATGGTTTTTACGCCGCTTTTAGCAATATTCCAGCAATATCACGGCGGGGGACACCAGATATGGGCTTCACACATTGAACCCATGTCGGGAATCGAACCCGGGTCTTGGCGTGACGAGCGAACGCTTTAACCACTAGGCTACCCGACCGCCCCTTGATAAAAGAGAAGAATTACTTGAGCGATTATTGATCCACAATTGAAATATCATTCTTAAACATGCATACCGACTCAAGATGAGCATTCCGACACGTTATGAACTTGTTGTACAAGTATAGTTTTGGAGACGTTTTGCTCCATATGGCGATTGTATATGTTGACTTATTTATTGAACAAGGCCGTTAATGTGTTGAAGTGCAGATATTGAAGAATGATTACGCAGCATCTGCTAAGTTAGATTTTTTTCATAGACATGTTAAAATAAAAATGTTTTGTATTCACAATATGATTTATCCAAGGGCTTAAGCTGAAGTAGATGCTCTGTTCATACATCAATGCGAGAAATGGGTTCGACAGTATAATCTTAAACTTAGTTGAAGATTGTTTCCACTTTGTGTTGTGGTAGTAGTAGAATAAGAATTCCACTTTTGCCTCCATTCTTAAACAGATTTAAGAGGGAGCAGTTTACCGAACTCTTATTGTGTCCATCCAAACCAGCAACATATTATGATGCTACTCTCCAGCTCAAATCCGTCTTTACTTTACAGTAAACATATAAAAAACGTTGTTCTTTATTCTAAGTTGTAATACTGTCCATCACTGTACAACTTAAAACTCTCTCTCTCTCTCTCTCTCTCTCTCTCTCTCTCTCTCTCTCTCTCTCTCTCTCTCTCTCTCTCTCTCTCTCTCTCTATATATATATATATATATAAACATGTGTGTGTGTGTGTGTGTGTGTGTGTGTGTGTGTGTGTGTGTGTGTGTGCGTGTGTGCCTTATTACTGAATACATGCTGCAATACAGTAGGATAATCGTTGTTTAACTGTCTATATATATATGAATTATGTATGTCAGTAGATGATGAAGCAGTTATAACCTTTGAATTTGGATTCAAGAGTAAATGGTCAATGCTGCGAGCTCAAAATGCAATGTATCTAGCAACACGAGAGTTGCTGTAAACGGTTTGTGCTACGAGCTTACCTATGATGCACAATGTATCTAGCAACACCAGAATGTTTGTAAACGGTTTGTGCTACGAGCTTACCTGTGATGTGAAATGTATCTAGCAACACGATATTTGCTGTAAACGGTTTGTCCTACGAGCTTACCTGTGATGTACAATGTATCTAGCAACACCAGAATGTTAACTTTGCAAACGGTTTGTGCTACGAGCTTGCCTATGATGTCAAATGTATCTAGCAACACCAGAATGTTTGTAAACGGTTTGTCCTACGAGCTTGTCTATGATGTCCAATGTATCTAGCAACACCAGAGTGTTTGTTCACGGTTTGTGCTACGAGCTTACCTGTGATGTACAATGTATCTAGCAACACATGGGTGTTTGTAAACGGTTTGTCCTACGAGCTTGCCTATGATTTCCAACGTATTAGCACCACTAGAGTGTTTGTAAACGGTTTGTCCTACGAGCTTGCCTATGATGTCCAATGTATCTAGCAACACCAGAGTGTTTGTAAACGGTTTGTCCCACGAGCTTACCTATGATGTCCAATGTGTCTAGCAACACATAAGTGTTTGTAAACGGTTTGTCCTACGAGCTTACCTATGATGTCCAATGTATCTAGCAACACCAGAATGTTTGTAAACGGTTTGTCCCACGAGCTTGCCTATGATGTCCAATGTATCTAGCAACACATGAATGTTTGTAAACGGTTTGTGCTTCGAGCTTGCCTATGATGTCCAATGTATCTAGCAACACCAGAGTGTTTGTAAACGGTTTGTCCTACGAGCTTGCCCATGATGTCCAATGTATCTAGCAACACAAAAATGTTTGTAAACGGTGTGTCCTCCGAGCTTGCCTGTGATGTCGAATGTATCTAGCAACACATGAGTGTTTGTAAACGGTTTGTCCTACGAGCTTGCCCATGATGTCCAATGTTTCTAGCAACACAAGAATGTTTGTAAACGGTTTGTGCTACGAGCTTGCCTATGATGTCCAATATATCTAGCAACACAAGAATGTTTTTACACGGTTTGTGCTACGAGCTTACCTATGATGTCCAATATATCTAGCAACACAAGAATGTTTTTACACGGTTTGTCTTACGAGCTTGCCTATGATGTCCAATGTTTCTAGCAACACAAGAATGTTTGTAAACGGTTTGTGCTACGAACCTACCTGTGATGTCCAATGTTTCTAGCAACACATGAGTGTTTGTACACGGTTTGTCCTACGAGCTTGCCCATGATGTCCAATGTATCTAGCAACACAAGAATGTTTGTTCACGGTTTGTGCTACGAGCTTGCCTATGATGTCCAATGTATCTAGCAACAGCAGTGTGTTCGCAAACGGTTTGTCCTACGAGCTTGTCTATGATTTCCAATGTTTTAGCACCACTAGAGTGTTTGTGAACGGTTTGTGCTACCAGCTTGCCTATGATGTCCAATGTATCTAGCAACACATGAGTGTTTGTAAACGGTTTGTGCTACGAGCTTGCCCATGATGTCCAATGTATCTAGCAACACAAGAATATTTGTTCATGGTTTGTCCTACCAGCTTGCCTATGATGTCCAATGTATCTAGCAACACCAGAGTGTTTGTAAACGGTTTGTGCTACGAGCTTGCCTATGATGTCCAATGTATCTAGCAACACCAGAGTGTTTGTAAACGGTTTGTCCTACGAGCTTGCCCATGATGTCCAATGTATCTAGCAACACAAAAATGTTTGTAAACGGTTTGTGCTACGAGCTTGCCCATGATGTCCAATGTATCTAGCAACACAAGAATGTTTGTTCATGGTTTGTGCTACGAGATTGCCTATGATGTCCAATGTATCTAGCAACACATGAGTGTTTGTAAACGGTTTGTCCTACGAGCTTGCCCATGATGTCCAATGTATCTAGCAACACAAAAAATGTTTGTAAACGGTTTGTCCTCCGAGCTTGCGTGTGATGTCTAATGTATCTAGCAACACATGAGTGTTTGTAAACGGTTTGTCCTACGAGCTTGCCCATGATGTCCAATGTATCTAGCAACACAAAAATGTTTGTAAACGGTTTGTCCTCCGAGCTTGCCTGTGATCATGATGTCCAATGTATCTAGCAACACATGAGTGTTTGTAAACGGTTTGTCCTACGAGCTTGCCCATGAGGTCCAATGTTTCTAGCAACACAAGAATGTTTGTACACGGTTTGTGCTACGAGATTGCCTATGATGTCAAATATATCTAGCAACACAAGAATGTTTGTTCACGGTTTGTGCTTCGAGCTTGCCTATGATGTCCAATGTATCTAGGAAGACCTGAGCTGTTGTAAACGGTTTGTGCTACGAGCTTGCCTTTCATGTAAAATGTATCTAGCAAAACCAGTTTAGTTGTAAGTGCTACAAGCTTTCCTATGATGTAAAATGCGTTTGCAACACCAGATTTGTTTTAAGCGGTTTTTGCTAGGAGCCCTGCCCATGATGTCCACTGCATCTAGCAGCACCATATTTGTTGTAAACGGTTTGTCCTTCGAGCTTGCCTATGATTTACAATGCATCTAGCAACACGAGAGCTGTTGTAAACCATCATATACAAGAGCTCACCTGTCGAAACGTGGGTTTTTGTAAACAAGCTTGTGTATCGCGACACACGTTTCTCTTACCGGTGATGTAAGGGTCCACACTCTGTTTGTAGTTTCTCTGTATGAAGTTGGCGCTGATCTGCAGCAGATTCAGATGCGTCTCGAAGGAGGAACAGGATTCGACTGAGAAAAAAAATCGACAGGAATTGAAATCTGATCCATAAGATCTTTATTGGAGTTACAGTTAATATTGAAATTATTCTCTGCAACATTTATATAACAACCATTAAAACTATGTACAACCATATATTCTTTTCCAAACACAAATATTTGAATATTTCTGGGTAAGATTTTTTAAATATATTTACAAAGGGTACAGTCTTTTTGACGATATTTTTACCCAAACAGATAGTGAGTTTTTTGGCTTGACTCCGCTTTGAATGATATTCCAGTCATGTCAGGGACGGATAAATGTGGTAGGAAGCCCGAAGTGAGGTATTTCTGAGACTTGGGTATACTGATGAAAAAACTTGAAACAACATCAGGGCGAATCTGAATCTTGAACCCATGACCAGAGGTCTCCGGCACCCCTTGCATAAAATATGGAAAGTTTTCTTATATAGGGTGTTTGAGAATAAGACGCAATTTATTGTCCTACAATAGTAGCAGCAACAGATGAGGTAACATCTTCACTACATCTGATTGCGATTGACGTGTGTGGGCACTCATGTGGTATAGACTAGCAGAACAGAAGGTTATTGGCCAGAGTCCGCTAGTAATGGATTTCTAAAACGAATGGGAGTGTTGGATTATGGCTGAAGGTGGCACAACATACATACCACTGATGTCAATATATTGTACACATACCCCACTATGGTAGGACTGGAACATCGCCTAATCAATGTCCCGACATGGGTACAATGTGTGAAGCCCATTTCTGGTGTCCCCGACCTTGATATTGCTGGAATATTGCTAAAAGCGGCATACATCCATACTCACTCACACACTCCCTTACCAATACTCGGTCTAGTTAATACACACACGGACATACCTAGCTGTGATATAACTGGAACATCGCCAAACTCGCGCAAGTCAGTACATATGGATATTCCCGGATACGATATGACTGGAATATCTTCAGCCGGTTGTCACTCTAGTCAATACACACATAGGCATAAACAGACGTGATATGAAGGGAACACGGGACAACTCGCTCTGGACAACACACATTTAAACGTACTTAGTCGTGTTCGGGACAACCATTCTGTCTCCGTCATAGTGTGGGGGGCAACGTGGGGGTGTCTTGTCAGTTTGTTGAACAGGTCGGTGGTCCCACTCTCGCCCTGCCCTATGATGTAAAAGGAGGGGAGGCAACGCAGCACCCCAGTCTCCCCCATCTCCGCCATGGGTCCCCTGCTTGGCTCCATGGCCCAAGGGCAGTGGTTCGGTGTGACGTTGTGCACCCACCAACAGTGGCTGGTAAACTCCAACAGAGGCCGTGGTACTTGCTGTGGAAAATAACGTCATCGTGTTATCGCGGAATATTGCAGTGTTGACCTTACTCACCAACTCACTCGCTATCAGATATACGTCCGCGTCCGAGGGGTTGGGAAACAATCGCATACTTTACACAGTTTTGATTAATGGAGACATTCGCTCCCAATGTGTCGTTAAACCATATCTGCTCGAAGTTGCTTACATAACCAGAGATGACCATTGTTTACTTTGAAGGATATGTGTGTTTAATAACCGAGGTGTTTCAAACTTATGTTGTCGTTTTCTGTTAAGATGAGACACGTGGTGAGACCGATAGAGCTGTTGCTGGATTGTCCGGCCTGGCGTTGCTGTATTGTCGTGTTTGCTATCGTTGGATTGTCTGGTCTGCCGTCGCTGGATTGTCTGGTCTGCCATAGCTACATTGCCAGGTGTGCTGTCGTTGGATTGTCTGGCCTGCTGTCGCTGGAATGGCGAGTCTGCTGACGTTGAATTTTGTGGTCTGCTGTCGCTCGATTGTTTCGTCTGCTGTCGCTGGATTGTCTGGTCTTCTGTCGCAGGATTGTCTGGTCTTCTGTCGCTAGATTGTCTGGGGTTCTGTCGCTGGATTGTCTGGTCTTCTGTCGCTACATTGTCAAGTGTGCTGTCTTTGGATTATCTGGTCTTCTATCGCTGGATTGCCTGGTCTGCTGACGTTGAATTTTGTGGTCTGCTGTCGCTAGATGGTCTCATCTGCTGTCGCTGGATTGTCTGGTCTTCTGTCGCTGGATTATCTGGTCTTCTGTCGCTGGATTGTCTCGTCAGCTGACGCTGGATTGTCTTGTGTTTTGTCGCCGGATGTCTGGCGTTCTGTCGCCAGTTTGTCTGGTCTTCAGTCGCTGGATTGTCTGGCCTTCTGTCGCTGGATTGTCTAGTCTGCTGTCGTTGAATTTTGTGGCCTGCTGTCGCTCGATTGTCTCGTCTGCTGTCCATGAGTGTCCCGTCTGCTGTCGCTGGATTGTCTTGTTTTCAGTCGCTGGATTGTCCGGTCTGCTGTCGCTAGATTGTCTGGTCTTCAGTCGCTGGATTGTCCGGTCTGCTGTCGCTAGATTGTCTGGTCTTCAGTCGCTGGATTGTCTGGTCTGCTGTCGCTAGATTGTCTGGTCTCCAGTCGCTGGATTGTCCGGTCTGCTGTCGCTAGATTGTCTGGTCTTCAGTCGCTGGATTGTCTGGTCTGCTGTCGCTAGATTGTCTGGTCTCCAGTCGCTGGATTGTCCGGTCTGCTGTCGCTGGATTGTCTGGTCTGCTGTCGCTAGATTGTCTGGTCTCCAGTCGCTGGATTGTCCGGTCTGCTGTCGCTAGATTGTCTGGTCTTCTGTCGCTGGATTGTCTGGTCTTCAGTCGCTAGATTGTCTGGTCTTCTGTCGCTAGATTGTCTGGTCTTCAGTCGCTGGATTGTCTGGTCTTCTGTCGCTGGATTGTCTGGTCTTCTGTCGCTGGATTGTCTGGTCTTCAGTCGCTAGATTGTCTGGTCTTCTGTCGCTGGATTGTCTGGTCTTCTGTCGCTGGATTGTCTTGTCTTCTGTCGCTGGATTGTCTAGTCTTCTGTCGCTGGATTGTCTAGTCTGCTGTCGTTGAATTTTGTGGCCTACTGTCGCTAGATTGTCTCGTCTGCTGTCCATGAGTGTCCCGTCTGCTGTCGCTGGATTGTCTGGTCTTCAGTCGCTGGATTGTCCGGTCTGCTGTCGCTAGATTGTCTGGCTGTTGTTGCTGGATTGTCTTGTCTGTTATCACTGGAATGTCTTGTCTGCTGTCGGTAGATTGTCTTCCCTATTATCACTGGATTCTCTAGTATTTTGTCGCTGGACTGTCAAGTTTGTTGTCGCTGGATTATCTAGCCTGTTATCACTGGGTTGTCTCGTCTGCTGTAGCTGTATTGCCTGGTTTGTTGCTACTGGATTGTCTTGTCTGTTATCATTTTAAATGTCTTGTCTGCTGTCAATGGATTGTCTGGTCTGTTTTTTTCTGGATTATGTGGTCGGAGTTTGATTGTTTGCTGAACCAGTCGTGCAGAGGGGCTGTTGCTGTGCGGCGTTGGGCAGCACACACTTACTTCAATGCAAATTGTGCACGGGTGCTACCTGTGGAGTATGACATGCTTACTCTTTCCGCGAAAAGCTGGTGCCATCATTACTTTTCAGTGAACAATTCATGCGATATTCATCACTAGTTTTTATGTTGCGCTCGGTGGAATCTGTTGCAGCAGATGGTTGAGACTGTTTGTTCGCAGGCGTTGACGTTTTGTGTATTCAGACCAATAGATAAGACATTGAATCATACAATAGTAAGTGTTATCGATCCGATGAACCAATTCGATAAATTTGGTATCACGATCTGCTTAATATGCAAATGAGATCGCCTGAAAGGAGCTACTTTCAGGTTCCATATGTCAGTGCGATGCCTTCTTTCTCAATAGGCTGTTGCATCACGCCCCTAATATGCTTAGACATGGCTCCCCCAATGTGGCGTAGAAACATAAGTCTGTATGATAAATTTGGCAGTTCACTCAACATCGTATTCATTCGTTTACTCTGATGCTTCATTGAATGAAATTGCAAAACAAACATACCTTTTTCTTTTAATGGCAGTATATGATAAGGAGAGTATACCTCGTGTGTACTTCTGTTTCGTAAATATCATATATTAGGAATAAAATGTGTGTATTATGCTCGGCAAAGGATCGCAAAATACAACTTTTGTCACTTATGTTCAAAAAACACATTGATCAATAAACTGTATATATGAAACCACGGTGGGCTCCATGTTGGCCTGTGAGATTACATATGGGCTCCCCCGGGTTAGATTCCTGACATGGGTACAAAGTGTGAAGCCCATTTCTGGTGTCCCCCGCCGTGACATTGCTGGAATATTGCTAAAAGCGGCGTAAAACCATACTCACTCACTCACCTATGGGCTCCACTCATCACTAAAATCTTCATAACATCCTTCGAAGAATCAGCCCTCTCCACAGTACCATTCCAACCCCTCTGCTGGTACCGGAAAGTAGACGACACATTCACGTCAGCCCAACAGAACGACCCCATAGAGCTCCTCAAACATCTCAACGCCCAGCACCAGAGAATCCAGTCCACCATGGACACCTTCCTTTCCTAGACGTGTCCCTCCAAACCACAGATGATGGACTAAGAACATCAGAGTACTGCAAGCCCACACATACAGACCCGTACATCTACTAAACTCCTGCTCGCTCGCTCGCTCACTCACTCACTCACTCACTCACTCACTCACTCACTCACTCACTCACTCACCCTAGTCACGGACTCCCCCTATCTCTTAGTTTGTCAGTAAGTTACGGACTCCCCCTATCTCTTAGTTTGTCAGTAAGTTACGGACTCCCCCTATCTCTTAGTTTGTCAGTAAGTTACGGACTCCCCCAATCTCTTAGTTTGTCAGTAAGCTACGGACTCCCCCTATCTCTTAGTTTGTCAGTAAGTAACGGACTCCCCCAATCTCTTAGTTTGTCAGTAAGTTACGGACTCCCTCTATCTCTTAGTTTGTCAGTAAGTTACGGACTCCCCCAATCTCTTAGTTTGTCAGTAAGCCACGGACTCCCCCTATCTCTTAGTTTGTCAGTAAGTTACGGACTCCCCCTATCTCTTAGTTTGTCAGCAAGATACGGACTCCCCCAATCTCTTAGTTTGTCAGTAAGATACGGACTCCCCCTATCTCTTAGTTTGTCAGTAAGCTACGGACTCCCCCTATCTCTTAGTTTGTCAGTAAGTTACGGACTCCCCCAATCTCTTAGTTTGTCAGTAAGCTACGGACTCCCCCTATCTCTTAGTTTGTCAGTAAGTTACGGACTCCCCCAATCTCTTAGTTTGTCAGTATGCTACGGACTCCCCCTATCTCTTAGTTTGTCAGTAAGATACGGACTCCCCCAATCTCTTAGTTTGTCAGTAAGCTACGGATTCCCCCTATCTCTTAGTTTGTCAGTAAGTTACGGACTCCCCCAATCTCTTAGTTTGTCATTAAGTTACGGACTCCCCCTATCTCTTAGTTTGTCAGTAAGTTACGGACTCCCCCAATCTCTTAGTTTGTCAGTAAGATACGGACTCCCCCTATCTCTTAGTTTGTCAGTAAGTTACGGACTCCCCCTATCTCTTAGTTTGTCAGCAAGATACGGACTCCCCCTATCTCTTAGTTTGTCAGTAAGCTACGGACTCCCCCTATCTCTTAGTTTGTCAGTAAGCTACGGACTCCCCCTATCTCTTAGTATGTCAGTAAGTTACGGACTCCCCCAATCTCTTAGTTTGTCAGTAAGCTACGGACTCCCCCTTTCTCTTAGTTTGTCAGTAAGTTACGGACTCCCCCAATCTCTTAGTTTGTCAGTAAGCTACGGACTCCCCCAATCTCTTAGTTTGTCAGTAAGATACGGACTCCCCCAATCTCTTAGTTTGTCAGTAAGATACGGACTCCCCCTATCTCTTAGTTTGTCAGTAAGTTTATTTGTATAACATAGCAAGTTGAAGGGGTTAAAATTAGGACGGTTTCTTACATGACAATAAACAAATTGCGAGCGATTCCGTATAATTTGATTGGCTAAGCAGGCAATTATTTTTCTGCGTTTATGTTTCCAATAGGCCTTTCTCACTACCACTCTACTGTTTGCTGATTGACTGTTAACAGAATGGGCGGGGCTTGTGTTGCATAATGGTGTTGTAAGGTGTCACTTATTTGTTACGGATGTCTGCAGATTTGTGTGTGTTAATGATTAAATAAGAAGGCACTCAAGTTAATTTTGTCGACGTAATTATTTATGAGAATTGACTTCAATTTGTGTTTGCGTCTATGGAGCTATGAACGTACATATCGCAATGCGCATTTTGCGTAAATCCACAGTTTGTCCACCGGTATATGCTTTCAGAGCTCCAGAAACATATGGTCGATTCTTAAATTACACAACGATGTATATGTTGGTCCTACATTACATTACTTTGCCAATGATTGAAGACCTCGAACACGGACCACACGTAGCACGGTATAGCAGCTGTCAGTGACTGTTATTTAAGAGATAAACGACTCGTGGTCGTTGTTTATCGTATTATTGTACGATAAAAAACGACCACGACTCGTTTATTTCTTATATGAGATAAAAGCATTAGGTACACGCTGTAAAATATATTTACCCGTATTCAAATAATGATTACTCCTTGAGTAGAATCCGACCGAGGCAATGTCGGACAAGCCCAATTTATGAACAGGTAGGCTAAATTTTGTCTTTCCCGTATATTCACGTCAATTAGCTGTGCCTTTTCTCCCAAAACCGATTGTCATATCGCTCCCACCTTCGGGTGCGATCGTTCGGCCATTGCGTTCATCATCCTCAAATTTACGGCGTCATCAAGTGGTGAGCGCAAATCTCCAGAAATGACGTCATGATGTTTTATTGGGAAATAAACCACGCTTCGTTCTTTATTGTTCTTTGCGATTTATCACGTAGCTTATATCTTATATGACAAGACAGAACACAGTAAGGCGGGGATGTGACACACTTAATGGTTCGTCAGACGGACTGAAGTACAGGGACCTGTTGCCATCTTGAGTTGTGTTTAATGATTAAGCTTAATGCCAAATACCTCATCTCAATGTCCAGTTTCCTCTTATCGGTCTTTTAAAGATCACATGGTTGGAAGGAAATATACTATTTACTCACCAGTTTCATGAGGTCAAGGTCGCGCCACAAGGTCATATTGTGGCGGGCCTGTGCCAGATACCATACCGTTCTCTGGAATGTTACTTCTTCAGGGCGGTATCCCCAGGGATGGGAGGAGTTCCGAGATCGGTTCTGCATGTGTTTAAATAACTCTAACATGTGTTGTCGGTGTGGCACACGGGGTTCCTCCGGTTCGTAAAGGAAGACGATGATCCCAATGCAGGATACGAGCAACACAACTCCAAGACATTTAACCATTTTCCTTATTTTGAACTTCATGCTGGAGCGACAGAAAGTTCATGTATTTACGTCTCTAATGTTACTGTGCTCGGTACCACACATGCGTTTCCATCCACTATATGACACGCGGCAGACGCTTTGTTTCATTGCATCACAGCTGCGAAACTAGATAAAGGGAAGGGAATTCATTGAACAAACTGTAGATGATATCATTTCACCATTGTGGCAAGGCAAAATTTCATTTGAGGTCACATTTATCTCGAAATGATGTTCAGACAGGTGGATGATTTCTGGCATGTTGTAACATCTTCATAACATCTTCATCTTCATTTTTTGTTATATTTACACAATTAAATAGCACAAAGTGACGAAGACACGACGGTATGCAGGAAGTAAGGCATGGACATACGCACCATCTATTTTGCAAACGTACACGGACAATTAAATAGCACAAAGTGACGAAGACATGACGGTATGCAGGAAGTAAGGCATGGACATACGCACCATCTATTTTGCAAACGTACACGGACAATTAAATAGCACAAGGTGACGAAGACACGACGGTATGCAGGAAGTAAGGCATGGACATACGCACCATCTATTTTGCAAACGTACACGGACAATTAAATAGCACAAAGTGACGAAGACACGACGGTATGCAGGAAGTAAGGCATGGACATACGCACCATCTATTTTGCAAACGTACACGGACAATTAAATAGCACAAAGTGACGAAGACACGACGGTATGCAGGAAGTAAGGCATGGACATACGCACCATCTATTTTGCAAACGTACACGGACAATTAAATAGCACAAAGTGACGAAGACACGACGGTATGCAGGAAGTAAGACATGGACATACGCACCATCTATTTTGCAAACGTACACGGACAATTAAATAGCACAAAGTGACGAAGACACGACGGTATGCAGGAAGTAAGGCATGGACATACGCACCATCTATTTTGCAAACGTACCGTTGAACGGCAGGTGAGGGAAACACACCTTCCATTCTGCACACGGATTTTAAAACGATTTGAAACTTGTTATTTCTATATTATACGGTCATTGTGAAAAAACAGTTAGGGACGCAACGCTCTACAGTGAATTGAGGCAACAGCGGCCTACCCATGTCCCTGCTAGAAGGTGTGTGATTTTGTCCAAGGGTATAATAGGCAAACTAACACCACTACCAGTCTCACAACTGAAACTTCCCTGACACGTTGACCATAATGCTGCAACGGCTTAGTGCCAAGCTTTTCAGTCGCAATAGGGGCGGTCGGGTAGCCTAGTGGTTAAAGCGTTCGCTCGTCACGCCGAAGACCCGGGTTCGATTCCCCACATGGGTACAATGTGTGAAGCCCATTTCTGGTGTCCCCCGCCGTGATATTGCTGGAATATTGCTAAAAGCGGCGTAAAACCATACTCACTCACTCACTTCAGTCGCAATATCATTGATCTGTTAACCATGATTGTGTAATCTTGAAAGGTAAACCAGAAAGTTGCTATAACCTGGTCTTGACTGACCACCGTATTGTTGTAATAATCTATATTCATGACATGTGACGATATAATTGCAATAGTCTGGCTTGACAGGAAATCGTACACTAGCATTAGTTTAGTCGAGACATGAAAAAGAAGAGGCAGCCTCACTGGTCTCCTTTAATCATGTGGGTAATTCCGTGAAAGTGGAAAGGCTATTTGATGGCTACTGAACGATATCAGTTCATCGATATGCCTGAAACATAAGTTAAAGGTCCTGGCAAAATTAACTTGTTCTGACTTTGCCAATCCGAGTGAAAAGTCCGATTCGTGTACATAGAGAAACAAATGAACATGAAGGAGTGCACAATTTGTGCCTTTCGAGAACCCTACATCTTGCCAAAATGTCTTTCCCCCAAGTCCAGCATTTCACGTACTTGTGATGACATTTGCTTTCATCTTTGTCATATTGCCCTGAACCTCGGAAGATAGATATGAAAATGTATCTATGGTCACCACGTTTTGTAACAAAATACCCACAGGTCAGGGAAGTCTTTTCCACATGTGTGTGATATGTGATAGTTACAAAGTTGTGAAAAATCAAATGCTTTGACCGAATTGAACATGGATCGTTTCAGAGATAGTAAAAGGTCAGGCAAATCCTTTGAGCTATTAGGAATCCAAATGGTGTTAATTCCACTTGTCTCAAATACCCGAGTAATTGCACTGAGAAGAAGAATTATCTCAAACAATTCTGGTCTATGAGTGGTGTATGATATGACGAAATCACCAGTTAATACGAGGTTGTTCCGAAATTCGAGGAATCCGCACTGTCATTTCTGTAGAATCTTACTTGGCTTGCTCCCGATCTTCGTGTACGTGCGTTTCTTTCACATCAGCTGTAACAACTGGCCTGTTATGCTTTTTCAATTGGTGACATTCTTTATGGTAAAGATGACAAATTAATTTTCTTATGTTAGTTATCTTGTGATATTTGTAAAGAGCACCAAGAGATATGTGATAAAATAAGCCGATATTCTGTATATCTGGCTCAGTTATTGTTTATATCAATACAGCAACCAAATCATATGGTTTTCCATAGGAAAAGGATTGTACCTTATATAACAAAACACTATGCAATAACATGGTGTCATAGATCCATATCTGACGCCAAAATAAGTATCATTGATATATCATGTTCTTTCATTACATATTCGAATTTCCCCCAAGCCACTGATTTGAGATTATAAAAAGTGATAACTATTTTTTTAAAAACACTGGTCATGGTTCGTACACCACATTACAAGGTCTCATAATAAGTACTGATTAATAAGGCAATGTAATTTTTGACAGAGACAACAGCTATTTTTACAATATTTACATCATGGATGCTACTCGTACTTAAATAGATAGAAGATGAAGCAATTCATTTTGTTCTTAGATAATTTATTAATCAATCATCACTGTGAGGTGAGGTGGTGAAATTGGGTTTAACGTCGCGTCCAAGATTATTGCACTTATATAGCGACGTGCATGCACGTGTATGTATGTGTGTGGCTGCTTGTACTAGTCCGGACTGATGCCGATTTATAGTGCTAGCTCACTGAGATACCATGCCGCAGTTTAACATGAATACCCCACTCAGACACAGTATACTGACTCCGAGCCGACCAGTCCTTGTTTTAGCCCCTTAATGCCGAGCACCAGACAGGGTAACAACAAGTACAATCTTTTAACGTCTTTTTGTATGACGCGGCCCGGGATCGAACCCTGGACCTTCCGCTCTCCGGGCGGACGCTCTACCATAAGACCACGGAGGCGGTCTCATCACTGTGAAGTGTATTGTAGGCCTATCGAACTATCTGCGAATAGACAATCTATCTATACCTCTTTTCTTTCTTGGGGTAAGACCATGATGTATGTTTGAGGATATTGAGCACATCGACTCCATAAACGCAAATAAATCAATTCTTATTATCAAATACGTCGAAAATAATAACATCAAAGACTGCTTTATTTAGCTCACGAAAAAATGTAGATAAGAATACGAAATCAATGACATCGTTCAGCACAGTATTGTAACACAAACCCTTGCCGTTCTTATCGACCTATCGCTTTCTATTGGATATTGAAATGGTTTTGCTGCTTTATTTACAGCAGGAAACTGTTGTCTGCTAGTGGATGTGGACTATTTCTTTTGTGCAGTTGTTTGTGGTTCATAGCATAACTTGGAACAAATACGTTGAAAGAGAGTATACATACTCTCACTTTTGCATTGTATTCGTGCAAGTGTCGTGGCATCATAAAAGTATTATGTCGAAGGCATTCATCTCCGCGTCTACTTACGATCTTCAACTTAGTGTTTCACATTAGAGTAGCCCCCCATGGGTTTAAGATGATCTATCGTTTCATATAATCATCTCGAAGAAATCTGGGCTAGTTATTGGCAGACTGCAGCTCGAGAGAACAGTCTGGTCGAATCATCAATGATATATTCATACGTCATCCTAACCAGGTTATAACGTCTTTTGTAACGTTAGATCTCGATAGTGTATATGTGAAATACATGAATTGTGCTTATTCGCTTTTGCTCGTTGAAATACGCTCGTTGTAATAAAACGCTATCTAACGGAGAAGAATGTAATAGTGTATTTTTTACCCACTGAAACTTTGCACATCATCAAGATTCAACGTCGAGAAGCCGACGTTATCAAGTTGCTGTCGCTCGTTTAGAAATACACTCTTTGTAATAAAAAAAAACCGCTTTCTATCGGGGAGACTCGTTTATATATTCATTGTTAATTTCTAAATCGATTTGTATCTGCAGTTTCCGTAGTCCCTGTTAGGCCAGGGACAATGTGTTACAATGAACTTCAGACTTCCACACTTCAGCGGAATGACGCACATATTACAGTTTGTATTCATGAACTCAAACAGTGGGTAAATACAGTGTACACTGGACACCTGTCACAGCGGCGTGTTGCCAGGATGTATATGTTTTGTAATTAATCACTGTTTCTAAATCTAGTCACAATTTTTACTACTGAGTCGAATTCCTTATAAACGGGGCGGTCGGGTAGCCTAATGGTTAAAGCGTTCGCTCGTCACACCAAAGACCTGGACTAAGAACATCAGTGTACTGCAAGCCCACACATACAGACCCGTACATCTACTACAACTCCTACTCGCTCGCTCACTCACTCACTCACTCACTCACTAAGTCACGGACTCCCCCAATTTCTTAGTTTGTCAGTAAGTTACGGACTCCCCCAATCTCTTAGTTTGTCAGTAAGATACAGACTCCCCCAATCTCTTAGTTTGTCAGTAAGATACGGACTCCCCCTATCTCTTAGTTTGTCAGTAAGTTAATTTGTATAACATACCAAGTTAAAGGGGTTGAAATTCGGACGGTTTCTTACATGACAATAAACAAATTGCGAGCGATTCCGTATAATTTGATTGGCTAAGCAGGCAATTATTTTTCTGCGTTTATGTTTCCATAACAGAAAAAATAGGCCTTTCTCACTACCACTCTTCTGTTTCCTGATTGACTGTTAACAGAATGGGCGGGACTTGTGTTGCATAATTGTGTTGTAAGGTGTCACTTATTTTTTACGG